TCTTCTCCGTTTCAATACTATTTGGTTTAGTAAAAGCATTTTGTTTGGGTATATTTACCTTTTTTTTTTTTAATATATTTTATTGATTTTTTACAGAGAGGAAGGGAGAGAGACAGAGAGCTAGAAACATCGATGAGAGAGAAACATCGATCAGCTGCCTCCTGCACATCTCCAACTGGGGATGTGCCCGCAACCCAGGCACATGCCCCTGACCGGAATCGAACCTGGGACCTTTCAGTCCGCAGGCCGACGCTCTATCCACTGAGCCAAACCGGTTTCGGCGGTATATTTACCTTTTAAGGAAAAGACAAAGTCAGTCTGTACCTGGTCTCATTCAATTTACAGGGTACCCTAGAATTTCATGCACTATCCATCCAACTATTCAAGCAGTTATTCCCGCAACAAGCATTTAAAACCGACTGAGCACTGTGGATAGAGCGTTGGCCTGCGGACTGAAAGGTCCCAGGTTCGATTCCGGTCAAGGGCATGTACCTGGGTTGTGCGCACTTCCCCAGTGGGGGATGTGCAGGAGGCAGCTGATCGATGTTTCTCTCTCATCGATGTTTCTAACTCTCTATCTCTCTCCTTTCCTCTCTGTAAAAAATCAATAAAATATATTTTTAAAAAAATAAAATAAAACCGACTGAGCATTAGGCATACTCAATAGCATTTACTGAGCAAATATAGGTGAAGGCAGACCTTGGTAAAAAGTTTTTTTAAAAAAAGAGTACTTTACATGTTGCTTTCTAAGATTTTACAGCAATCTTTAGGCTGTTTTTGCCCCCCCCCGCCCCCTTTTCTTTCCCACATTATAAAACTAAACCTGGCTCGCGCTTTCTCTTCGGAGGCCCACACAACGAGGAGGACAGGGGTAGGGTGTGCTGAGAGCGCAACCAGCACCCCCACGAGCCTTCTCAACAAGCCCGAGAGTAAGATGACCGCGGAGGAGCCGCAGAAGCGAGGGGAGGAAGAGTTGAACACGAGCCCGCTCTCCGTGCTCACGCCGTCCGTCAAGAACAACACCCAGGTGCTCATCAACTACCGCAAGAACAAGAACCTCCTGGGCCGGGTGAAGGCTTTTGACGGGCATTACAACATGGTGCTGGAGAATGTGGAGGAGCTGGGGACCGAGGTCCCCAAGAGTGACAAGGGCCGGAAGAAGTCCAAGCCAGTCCACAAGGACCGCTACATCTCTGCGATGTTCCCGCGCGCGGGGGATTCGGTCATTGTGGGCCTGCGGCACCCACTCATCGCCGGCAAGTAGGGGCATGCTCCCTGCTTGGCGCCAGGCCTCTCGGGCACCAGGACTGCCGGCTGTGTTTTGTAGGCATTCCTCTGCGATAGACAGGCGGATCCGTGACCTAGAATAGAGGTCAGCAAACACTGTCAGTCAAGGGCCAGATGGTAAGTCGTGGATCAATATAGCGTCTGTGGCAACTACTCAGTTCTGCCCTTCTAGCACAAAAGCAGCCGGTGACAATATATAAAAGAACAAACATGAATGTGTGCTAATAGACTTTATTTATGGATACTGAAATTTAAATCTCACATAATTTGCACTTGTCACAAAATAGTATTCTTCGTTTGATTCCCCAATTCTTAGAAAATGTAAAAACCATCATTAGCTTGATTGCTGTACAAAAACAAGAAGCAGTCTGTATTTGGCCTGTGGGCTTGTGTTACTCAGTTTGGGCTTGTGACACTGCGATTTATAATAAGAAATATATTTTAGGGCTTCGACCCCATTCCTGGCACAGAGTTCCTAAAACCCTCGTAATTCCCTCTTCTCAAGGGAGGGGAGAAGAACTGCAAGTTGAATCAATTACCACCAATAGCCAATGATTTACTCAATCATAATTATGCAATGGAGCCTTTTTAAACACGCAAAAGACAGGGTGTAGAGCGTTTCTGCATCGGGGAGCCCATGGGGGTGCTGGGAGAGTGAGGTGCCCGAAGAGGGTGCAGGGCTTGCCCAATGAGTCTCTTCCATCTGGCTGTGCTTGGCAGGAAGGGCCTTTTCACACTCATCTTGATCTTTCCTCCTGCCTCATCGTAGCTCCTATATCTCTATATCTAAGTCATTTATTAGTAAGCCACATTAGCAAATTAGTGGCCACTCCTGCTTGTTCCCTGTGGTATTCTAATTTGCAACCCCCTGCTAAGTGCTCAGCACATTCATGTGGAAGACATAGGATAGTCAGGACGATTCTGTGACCACCCACCACACCAGCATCCTGAACACTGTCTTTGAGATAGAGAAACTGCTGGTTCAGACCCCCAAACTCCAACTCGCCCTAGGAAACAAGCTTTGCAGCCACCAGGGCATTTCCTTTCCCTCTGAGACCTTAGAATCGGATCCTCCTGGTTTTCTTTCATCTCACTCTGCAGTTTGCACAGGCTTTAGCATACTTCGTGTGTTCTTCAGGTTTTTAATTTAACAGTGGAAGCAGAACTTTTCTTAGCTTGGTTACAGACCCCTCTCCAAGAGGAAGAAGACCCTACGCAAGAGAAAGCCAGGAGGTGGAGGTGAGGCACTTTAGTATCTAATTTGGGGAAACCTGGTCAATTCCCAGAGATAGCAGAGCCTGCGTTTGGAGAGGGGGCGGCGG